GGGGCCGCTCCGCTTGCCTCACTGACCCCGTGCACGTCCCGCCACTCGGCCCCACCGCGGCCCTGCTGCTCCACACTCATGGAACTCCCATATTGCAAGTGAGTCTGCAAATACGTTTCAGTTAAGATACACATGTGTGCACCCACGAGCATGTGTATGTGTGTGTGTGTCCATGTGGACATTCCACTGATCCTCATTCTCCAGGTCTCTAAGACGTTAGTTGGGTTAATATATCTTCTGTTTGCATGAGATGAGACTGACCACTGTTCCCTCTCGTCATGGGGGTTTCTTGACAGATGCACGGACACAGGAACCCAGAGAAGCTGAGCAGCCTGGCATTGGGGCAGGAGCAGCCCGGAGGCTGGTTCTGGATCTGCAGCCACCCGGGGGCCTTCAACAGCAAGTTTGTACATCTTCCATCTAATGCTCCACCATTAACATGATTTGACTTCCCCTTGTTTCTCACAGCTGAGGCTCTCTGATTCCCTGTTCTCTTTGCAGCTTTTCACCACCTCACAGCGCCTGCTTACCAGAGCACCCGCCCCTCCTGAAGGCTGGCTTCCATGTGTCTGTCCTGGCTACCCTCCTTCCTGTGTCGTGACCTTGCAGCAGCAGGTCCCACGGTTCTCTCATTCTCTCAGTGTTTTCTGGTTCAGAACACTTTGAGGGGAAGCTCACTTTGCCTGGCTCATCCCTTCAAACAAGCCATGTCACTGGCGGGCCTAAGGGTTAGTTACACTTAGGGCAGATGCTCTGTCCAATCAGGGGCCAGACTCATGCAAAAATGAAGGCCTTGAATCTACCCAGAGTCACCTCGCCTTTCCCCCGACAGCGACCCAAGGCCGGGCCCTTTTACTTCGTACATGGGACTCCGCAGTAGCTGAACCCCTGCTTCCCACACTGGGCCAGGATTAAACCCTGGTTTTGCCATGTGTCTTTTTCTTTCTCTCAGCCTTTAGATTACTCTCTGCTGCTCCCACTTCTCTATTTCCATTGTCTAGTTGACTCATCCACCAGGCTGCAAATCCTCAAGGCCAGGGAGGATCTCACCTTCCTAGACCTCACAAAGCCCTGACTATAATGGCCACGCGGGCCAGGGGCATGAATGAACCAACACATTGATTAATTTAGGGAGAAAAGAGGACTGACCAGCTGACCATTACTGTCCAAAGCCAGTTAGCCTGCAGATCCCTAGACAAATGGCCGTGTCCTCTGTCCTGCTCTGGCCTCAGGGCCCAGTGCTCTGCTGCCCCAGGGCACAGACTCTGCAGGTGACTCAACCCTCGGCTGCCCCAGACACCCAGGCCTGGAGGGTCCAAGGAAAAGGCTTCCTTGTCTTTTAGATTATGCTGCTTAGAGCCCACGTGGAAAATTAGCCGTCTAATTTAATTACCAGAACTCAAGCCAAGCCCAGAAAAAGGGGTTCAGGAGCACATTAAGAAAAGATTGTCTGGGAGGAGTTGGGGGGAGGCAGAGAGAGGGCTGGCCTGGGAAGTCCTCAGCTTTGTCCACAAGGTGGGCCTGTGCTCTAGGCCTGGTCCTGCTGCTACCCCAGCTGATGGGCAATGTCTCATCCATGACGGCCGTTCACATTCACTAGTCTTTCCTCCCTCCCAGGGTTACTGTGAAAGGCAAATGAAACCGTAGATGTAAGACAGGTGTTAGTGTCGTCATCATCACCCTGAGACAGATAATTGTGCTCAGTGAGGCTCAGAGCCTCTCAGGGCTCTGTCATGCAGAACAGCCACACTTACCCAGATGTACACGTTAGAAATACAGACAGTGGGGAGAAATCAAAACAAGATACAAATACTCATGTGCATATATATCACATACTGGATGAAGCTAAGTGGTTGCTAATTTTAAAATACAGGATTATTTACAGCATAGAGCCCATACCCTGAGTACACAATTCACTTAAAATGAAGAGGAGGGAACAACAGTAAGCCGCCATCCAAGTTCCAGGTGCGTTCATTTATTCCTCAAAACAGCCTTGATATTATCATCTTCTTTTCTGCAGAGAAGGAAACTAAGTGCATGGGAGAATCGGGGTTTGAACCCAGGTCTGTTGGATGCCACAGCTGATACTTGTCCACTCCAACTGGCTTCCCCCTCGAACCTCAGGTCAGGACGCTTAGAGATGATCCAGCCAACCACCCTTCCGAGAGGTCAATGAAAGCCACAGCTGGCCTCTCTGGTGATGGGCAGCACAGACCGTGCTTGGATGCCTGGAACCATCAGAAAGGGGGCCGTCCACTAGCACTGGCGAGGAACTGCATTCGCTCCCAGGGAAGTGACACAGCTGCAGTCTTCCTCCACATCCTCATACAAAGGGACACACATCGGTGACCAGAGAAACCTTAACAATGAACCGATTTTCACAATTGTCATTCAAACCCCAAGCAACATGTTCTGTTTTATGAATGGCCCCATGTTTTAAAGAAAGAGAACACCAGTGACATAAATGCTTAACAAAAAGGCTCATGGGAAAGGACTCACAACCCAGCACTACAGGACCTAACAGTCTCCTCAACAGCCAAAGGGAGGTTGGTGACTTGTGACTCAGTCTCCATTTCAGGGCCTCGGCAGGACAGAACCACCCACATTCATAAACTGGGCTTCTAGGCCTTTTCAAAGCTCCTGGAGCCAGAGCTCCTGCTCTTCTCCCCATGATATCGGGTGTCCTGGGGTCAGATGTGAGCCTCGTGGTGAGTAAGGTGCAAAGTGGGGGTCCAAGAGGATGCTGGAAAAGCCAGACAAAGAAACTTCTAAAGGCCAGCTGGTGGCACTTCATGCCGGGACCAAAGGACTCTCAATCCAGACATGGCCTTGTGTGTTGTGTGTTCCTGCTATTTATAATCAGCAAATCCACTTTTGTGGAGTTGGCTTGTTTTTGCTGAGTGAACCAGCACCTCATGCTTTTCAAACATGTGGAAAATAATGAAAATGGCTTTAATAACTGGGATGACTTTTTCACCACAGCTTCTCCTGAGGAGATGTCTGGAACCCACAGAGGATGGAGAGATGGGAAACAAGTGGGGGCCCATTCAAGACCAAGCTGCAAGACAACTGTCCCCTCCAAGAACCCAGCAGGCCCACTCAGGCCCCCAGCCTGCTCCCCTCGAGTGACCCAGGCAGAGGAAATTTCCATCAAGACAGGGCCTGACTCAATCTCTCCCAAGCAAACCAGACACCAGCCACCAAACTGCTAGCACAAGAATTTCCATAATGAGAAGCTTCCAGGAAAGCCCCATAAAACCTTTACTGTAAATTCAATAAACTGGATTTCAAACATGGTGGCTGGGCTGGGGAAGCCTGGAGCCACACCACCACCCTCCACCCCTCTCCACCATCTCCACACACACACAAGTAGGCCATTCCAGCCCAGACAGAAATGCAGCCCCACCCTTATCCCCGTGCCAATTCTCCCATTCCCAAGTCAGCTTCTACATGCTCTCCCCACACCAGCAGCACCACCGGACCAGCGCAGGCCAGGCAAGTGAGGAGCCATGTTGACAGAATCTCCAGACGATGCTCAGCTACGCACAGGGTGTGAAAAACAAGACCTCCGGCCCCCTTTAGCACACCCGGATGCTTCAGGGACTCAGCTCCCTGACCCTTGTCAGAGCCCCTCACCTGCCTTTTCTATGCCCCATAGCATTAGTCCAATCAAGGAACACCCAGCCATCTAGGATCACAAAGAAGAAATACACCCCCCACCCCAAACACTCAATGTAGATCCAGAAGACATTTGACCCAGAGTGACAGAGTATTTGCCTCTGTCCTGGTCAAAAACCTCACCCCCTTACACTGCTTCTCAGCTAAATGCCTCACACCCCCACCCCCGACACTGAGACCTTTATTTTCCTAGACACATGAATTTCACTTACATCTTTCACTTTCTCACCCAAACCCCAGCCTCACTCTGCCCTCCCAGGGCTGGGCCATGCAGGGGATCAAAGACACTTGCAAAGGGTCTGGTGTGAGCAACCCGTCCGGGGCGCTGTGTCAAGATGCCGAGGCAGAAGCAGGACTTGGGCTTGCACACCCTGCACTTGCCTGCTTCACCAGGGCAAGGCAGGTGTCAGGAAGGGTCACAGCAGAGAGTCTCTGCTGGAAAACATGGCTGAATGGACTGGGAAGAAGGTGATGGCTTCCTGGGCAGGGGCTGGGAATTTGGGTTTGATCAGGAAGTATAGCCCCTCAAAACTTCGGAACGGGAAGGGCTTAGAGGTTATGCCACTCCACATCTGCATTGTGCAAATGAAGAAACTGAGGCTAATCAGAGGTTATCCCACTCCACAGTGCAGATGAAGAAACTGAGGCAGAGAGATGTGAAGTGACTTGCCCAAGGTCACACGTTCATTCTTTCACACAATCAATAAGCCAACTATGGACCAGGCCCAGTGCCACAAAATGTCGGGCTCCTGATCGCTCCCTAGAATTTCCCGCTTCTGAGATAACAGCAGCAGGGACTCCCAGAGTGTCTAAGGTACAAGGTTGTGGGGCATGATATGGCCTAGCAGTGAGGACACTGGATTCACAGAAAACTGAGGTCTATGCAGCCCTAGGCAGACAACTCCCCTCCCTGAACCTTAGTGTCCTCTTTTGTACATTAGTTCCAGTAATATCTACCTTCTGTACCTCACTTGCTCGTTTGCTGCGTGTCAGATGAGATCTCATGTAAAACTGTGACTCACTAAATAAGGTAGGAAGGGAGGGAGATGATAAAGAGTAGGCGAGCTTGGGAGTGGGAGAGTGGGGGGCTCGGGCTGCCCCAGCATCCATGAGGAAATAGACGCAAATTCCATGTCTCCACTGAGCATCTGGGTGATGAGACCAGGCATCTTTTTTTTCCCAAGTAATTTTATTGGGATTAATGGTTTTTAACATTGTATAATTTGGGCTGTACATTATTGTTTATCAATTCCTGACTACATTCATTGTGCTCACCCCTAGTAGTGTAATTTTTATCCATCACCATAAATATGCACCCCTTTACCCCTTTTGCCCACCCTCCAACCCCCTTTCCCTCTGGTAACCACAAATCTGTTCTCTTTATCCACATATTCATTATCTTCCATGACTTCACTCAGATGTGGAAGATAACAGATCAGGTGTCTGGACTCACCCACCTGGTGAACCAACCACTCCTGTCTGAGGCAGCCTCTCAGGAAGCTGTGACTTCCCAGCATGACCCACGTCCCTGACCCCTTCCCAGAGCGGGCAGAAAGTGAAAGGCATACTGTGCATTTCTCCGCCTCCGGGTGGTAGGGTTTCACATTCCTTCCCTGCCTCTTCGCAAAGAGGACTGTGGAATCCTCGGCTGCAAGCCCATCTACAAGGCCTCCCACTCCCACTCTGTGCAGACACTGGGCTTGTGGATATTTTCCACATTTTTTTAAACTGCTTTTTTTGGAAACTATTTTCCTCCAGCCCTGGACCAAGGACAAACCAGTCAGAGCTTGCAGTTGTGAGTCCAGAGGGCAGCCAGGCATTTGCCTGAAGGCTTGCGGGGCACCAGCACTGCCTGTACTTTTCCATGAATGGGAGGGAGGGAGAAGCGGCAGGGTCGGCTCTCCCCAGGAACAGAACACTGCCTGGCGGCCTGGCATCCTGGGAATTTTCCCAGCTGCTTTGGGGAAGTTACTCTAACCTGATCCAGCTGTGGTGGAGGCCCTGACGGGTATGAGGATTCAGACTTTCAGCCCTGATCTTATCACGGGAGGTGGTCCTGCTTCCCCCAAACCAGCTTTCTCTCCCTAATGGATCTGCATGGTAGCTCTTCAGCCTGCGTTCCTGGCATTTGACTATCTGCCCTCCAAGCACCTACCCACTGTTTGCACATCTTAAATACCCCTGGCTTTAGGGCTGGTTGGCCTCACCAACAACCTGTGCTTGTACCTCAGCCCAGCCCAATCCTAGGGTCAGGTGGAGAGTAAACTACTACCACCAACAAAGTGGATTGATGATAGAGAGTTTTAAGGGGACATAGGCTGTAAGAAGGGATTAAACGCATGCAATTTGGGGTCTGACGTACTCAAGGTCAACTGGCTCTGCCACTTTCTAGCTGTTGTTACTTCTCTGAACTTCCATTTCTCCATCAGTAAAAGAGCTAATATGACTCCCCTCAGAGGACTGTAGGTAGGATTAATTTAAAGGATGCATATAAAAAGTGCTTTGCCTGATACAAAATTGGTGGTGTATTGTAATTATGAACAGTTGGGATAGGCCAAGCATACAACGTACTCATCCTCTCACGTCAGAATTATGATCCAGTCAAGGCAGAAGGGAAGATGAGGAGGAGAAATGTGCATGGAACAGCACAGAAGGACGATGTCTCCACATTCTGAGTTGGCCAGGATGGCTGGTTCTTTGTGGCTGAGGCCTGCAGGGGAAGAAGCGGTGTTGGCTCTAGTCTGGTCCTTGGAGGACTCGGAGAAACTGGAATCTGCAGCGAGCTCACATGGCTCAAACGCAGCCCTCCACAGTGACAACCAAAACCCGTGCCCCAGACACCACCCATCTTCCTGCGGGGCGAAGTGCCCTGGAACACAGCGGGCTGCTTTCCCTCCTCCCACCCCACTCCTCAGGTTCTCCCCCCAACCAATGTCCACTTCTTCTTGCAAAACCTTGGAACAAAACTACAGCGTGACACTATATTTTTCTTAAGTGCTGCTTGACAAGACAAAATGTATAGGGCAATTGTTGCAATTATGCTATAATACAAATATTTATCAATGATTGGAAAACTATACGACAAGGTTACTGTATTCCAAGGTTAAAACAGTGATTACCTGTTTTCTTCGGAGGGTGGGATTAGAGGTGATTTTGGTTTTCGATTTTATGCTTTTCTGTGTTTTCCAAATGAACATGTAGGTTTCACAATCATAAATTATAATGATTTTATTTTTAAAAGAACAAAGTTCATCACAGGCTTTTTCACGCACACATTAAGTCATGCACTATCCTGCTCAAATCTTTTCAACGATTTCTCATGGCACATAGGATAAAATTCAATGCCTTTTCCATGGCCTGCAAGGCTGGACGTGACCCAGACCCTCCACGTGGCTCGATCTCCTGCCATTCTGGTCCTCACCCACCAGCTCCAGCCTCGCTGGCCTCCTGCCGGGTGAGACTCCCAGCTCCACCATTCACTAGCTGAGTGACCTTGGGCAGCTTACTTAAGCTCTCCACGCCTTGGTTTCCAATTCTGAAAGAAAAAAACCCATAATAACAGTATCTACCTCACAGGACTGTTGCAAGGATTAATTTTTAAGAATGCCTGGCATATAGTAAGCACTTTGTGTTTTCATTATTATCATTTTCTCCATTGCAGGTTTGCACATGCTGTTCCCTCTGCCTAGAATGCACTTCATTCCATTCTTCACCTGGCTGACTTCTTCCCCATCTTGGCCTTGGCTAACATGTCCCTTCCTTAGAGAGGCCTTCCTGATCACCTACTCTCAACTCTGCCCATCCTGTTATGCTCTCATAACGTCATGCCCTTTTCCTTCCATGTACTTGTCAGGATTTATAATTATATACAGTCGTGCAGCCCTTAACATCACAGATTTGTTGTTGTTCACAATGTCCAGTTGATTCCAACTCCTAGCAACCCTGTGTACAGCGGAGCAGAACCCTGCGAGTCTTTTGGCACCATCCTCTCTCCTCTGGTGCTATATCAGACAATGCTCCACTGCTATTCACAGGGTTTTCATGGCCAATTTTTTTGGAAGTGGGTGGCCAGGTCCTTCTTCCTAGTCTGTCTTAGTCTGGAAGCTCCGCTGAAACCTGAAACCTGTCCCTGCTGGTATTGGAAATACAGGTGGCATAGCTTTCAGCATCACAGCAACATGTAACCGCTACAGTATGACAACCAACAGACAGATGGTGTGGTTCCCTGACCAGGAATCAAACCCAGGCCAGGCAGTGAGAGTGCCAAATCTTAACCACTAGACCATCAGGGCTCGCCCCAGCAAGAGGGCTGCTTTCTGAGAAATGCATCATTGGACAACTTCATCACTGTGAAATCATACAGTACACTTACGCAAACCTAGATGGTCTAGCCTACTACACACTGAGGCTATAGGGTACTAATCTTATGAGACCACCATCATATATGTGGTCCCATCATTGACCAAAACATCGTTATGTGGCACAAGACTGTATTTACATGTTAACTAATTTTATTTAATGCTTGCCTCTCACCAGATTATAAGCTTTATCAGGGCAGGTTTGCCCACCTATGAATAACCAGAGTTTAGAAAAGCCCAGCACATAGCAGGTACTCAAAAGATGTTGGCTGAAAGAATGAGTAAAATGAAGAAATGAAGGAGTGCATTCTGTCTTCTCAGATGGATCCCAAATGCCTACTTTTCTTTTTAGAAATTTAACACTTAGGTGTTCACTTCTAAATCTGCATGTTGCAACACAGCTACGTAAAATTTGAAAATAAAACTTTTTCATTCCCAACCTCTCCAGAGTCAACAATTGTCATATCAAGAAATGCGTCAAATCTAGGATGGGGCTATAAGATCTTTTGTTAAAACTTCAGGAAGATCCTGAGGCCAGCCCCGTGGCCAAGTGGTTAAGTTCACATGCTCCACTTCAGCAGCCCAGGGTTTTGCTGGTTCAGATCCTGGGCGCAGACATGGTACCGCTCATCAGGCCATGCTGAGATGGCATCCCACACAGCACAACCAGAAGGACCTACAACTAGAATATACAACTATGTACTGGGGGCTTTGGGGAGAAGAAGAAGAAAAGGAAAAGAAGAAGAAGATTAGCATCAGATATTAGCTCAGGTGCCAATCTTTAAAATAAGAAAAAAAGCCCAGAAACTTCAGGAAGATCCAAAATGGTGCATCTTGACCAATGGTTCTCCACTGGAGACTTTTTTATCCCCAGGGGACATGTGGCAATGTTTAGAGATGTTTTTGGTTGTCACAACTGGGGTATGCTACTGGCATCTAGTGGGTAGCAGCCAAGAATACACTACACTTCCTACGATGCACAGGACAGCCCACGACAATAAAGAATTATTGGGCCCAAAACATCAGTGGTGCTGAGTTTGAGAAACTCAGCTCTAAATAGACAAAAGGCCTTCTAAGAATACTTTTTTTCACCCCCAAACCTTTGTTCAGTCCCTCCCAGGTACCAGATACTGTACTAGGCACTGGAGATGCAATAGCAAGCATAAAGTCTCTGCGCCTGCCCCCAGGAGACTTACACTCAAGCTGGGTAAAAAAGGCTTTGGAAAGAAAAGTAATATTGGTAATGGTGATAATGGTCATATGCTTACCTCACCTATCTTGAAATGTGTCAAATTGTGTTAACGTGACCCTGTGAAAGAAAAAGCAGGCTGCTTGACAAAATTAACTTAGGGCATGACTGTGGTGACGTGACAAAGCACCAGATTCTGGACCCCTCATTGTGAAAGTGGCTTGCCTACACACCTCGCATTTAACTTAGTGCATTTCATTTTAGATTTGCCCTGATTCTTCTATTTATTTATTTATTCATTTAGGAGGAAGATTGGCCCTGAGCTAACATCTGTTGCCAATCTTCCTCTTTTTGCTTGAGGAAGACTGTTGCTGAACTAACATCTGTGCCAATCTTCCTCTATTTTGTATGTGGGACGCCTGCCACACCGTGGCTTGATAAGTGGTGTGTAGGTCCACAGCCGGGATCTGACCCCGTGAATCCCAGGCCGTCAAAGCAGAATGAACAAACTTAACCCCTATGCCACCTGGCCAGCCCCGATTCTTCTTTTCACATAATTTAATTGAAGTATAATTTCTATACCATAAAATTCACCATTTTAAAGCATACAATGCTTATCTATTTACAAGGTTTTTAATCTATTCACAAGGTTGTGCAACCATCACCACTACTAATTTTACCACATTTTCATTACCCCAAAATGAAACCCCATATCCATCAGTAGGCATTCCCCATCTCCCCCTCCTTCCAGCCCATGGTAGCCACTAATCTACTCCCTGTCTCTATGGATTTACCTATTCTGGACATTTCACATACATGGAATCATACAAGATGCAGTTTTTTGTGACTGGCTTCTTTCACTTAATGTTTTCAAGGTCTGTCCATATTGTAGCACGTATCAGTACCTTATTCCTTTTTATTGTCGAATAATGCTCCATTGTATGGATATACCACATTTTATTTATCCATTCATCAGTTGATGGATATTTGGGTTGTTCCCACTTTGGGGCTACTACTGATAGTGCTGCTATGAACATTCACATACAGGTTTTGGTGTGGACATATATTTTCACTTCTCTTGGATATATACCTAGCAGTGAAATTGCTTAGTCATATGATAACTCGACATCTAACTTTTTGAGGAATGCCAAGCCATTTGCCAAAGTGGCTGCACCATTTTACATTTCTACTAACAATGTATGAGGGTTCCAGTTTCTCTACATTCTCGTCAACACTTGTTATTGTCTGTCTTTTTTTATTTTAGACATTCTAACAGGCATGACATGGTATTTCATTGTACTTGGATTTGCATTTCCCTAATGACTAATGATTTTGAGTATCTTTTCATGTGCGTATTGGCCATTTGCATATCTTTTTGGGAGAAATGGGTATTCAAATCCTTTGACCTTTTTTTAAATTGGGTTATCTTTTTATTGTTGAATTGTAAGAGTTCTTTACAATATAATCTGGATACCTTTATTTCTTCTCTTGTCTAATTGCTCTGCCTAGAACCTCCAGTACAATATCAAGCAGAAGTGGAAAGAGTGAAGATCACTGTCTTGTTCCTGATCACATGGGGAACAATTTCAGTCTTTCACTATTGTCATGTTAGTTGTGGATTTTTTTATCATGAAAGGGTGATCAAGCTGTGGGTGTTTTATCATGAAAAACATTCATCAAATATTTTTCTGCATCTTTAAAGATGATCATGTAATCTTTGCCCTTAAGTCCATTAATATGGTGTACCTCATTGATTTTTCATATGTTGAATCAACCTTGAATTCCTGGGACAAATCCTACTTGATCATGGTGTGTTATTCTTTTTATATGTTTCTAGGTTTAGTTTGCTAGCATTTTGTTGAGGATTTCTGTATCTATATTCACAAAGGATCTTGGTCTGTGGTTTTCTTTTCTGGTGATGTCTTTGGTTTTGGTGTCAGGATAATACTGGCCTCATGGTATGAATTGGGTAGTGTTCCTTTCTCTTCTAATATTTTTAATAGTTTGTGAAATAGTAGTATTAATTCTTTAAATATTTAGTAGAATTCACCATTTAAGCCATCTGGGCCTGGGCTTTTCTTTGTGAGATATTTTTAAATTACCAATTCATTCTTTTTAGTTGTTATAGGTCTATTCAGATTTTCTATTTATTCTTGAGTCCGTTTCAGTAGTTGTGTCTTTCTAGGAATTTTTCCGTTTCATCTCTGTTATCTAACTTGTTGGCATACAGTTGTTCAGAGCATTCCTTTAAATCTTTTTTATTCCTGTAAGGTCAGTAGTGATGTCCCCTCTTTCATTCCTGATTTTAGAAATTTGAATCTTCTTTTTTTTTCTTAGTCTAGCTAAAAGTTTGTCAATTTTGTTGATCTTTTCAAACAGCCAACTTTTGGTTTCATTAGTTTTCTCTATTGTTGTTCTATTCCCTATTTCATTTACATCTGCTCTAATATTTATTATTTCCTTCCTTCTGCTAACTTTGGGTTTAGATTGCTTTTCTTTTTCTAGCTTCTTTAGGTAGAAGTTTATGTTATTAATTTGAGATCTTTGGTTTTTTTAAAATAAGTGTTTACAGCTAAAAATGTACCCCTAAGTTTCCATCATATCCCATAAGTTTTGGTATGTTCTGTTTTCATTTTCATTCAAAGCATTTTCTAATTTCTCTTGTGATTTCTTCTCTGACTTATTGGTTATTTAAAAATATGTTGTTTAATTTCCATATATTTATGTTTCCCAAATTTGCTTCTGTTATTCACTTCTAATTTAATTCCATTGTGGCCAGACAACAGATTTTATATTATTTCAATCTTATTAAATTTATTGAAGTTTATTATATGGCCTATCTTAGAGAATGTTCCATGGGCACTTGACAAGATTGTGTATTCTGCTCTTGCTGGGTGGTGTGTTCTACAGGTGTCTATTAGATTAAGTTGGTTTACAGTCTTGTTCAACTCTTCTTTTTCCTTGTCACTCTTCTGCTTAATTGGTCTA